AATTTGTTTGCCTTCACAGAATCAGACATAGAAACCCAGGAAGGATAAATTAATCAGTTGCCCACAGTTGCTAAAGACATTGCTGAAGATAGAGCCTGGGAACCTTCATTCTTAGTCTGGGTCTCTTTTCACTCTAACAAGCTGCCTCCTGTCACAGCCTCCTTCCTGTCCTTTAAAACTGGACAAATGCTGCCTCTTGCTCCAAAGACCATGTTCCATCAAGAAAGGAGAAGACCTTTGCAATACTGTGACCTCCAACCCCATGGGTTTCCCATCTCTATTTCTACTCAGGAAGTCCTGGTCATGTCATGGCCACAAATGTTTACTGGAAAGATACACTACCCATAAAGTTGTCATTGTGGAGGTGTGGAGGTCTGGGGACTTCCATAAGCCTAGAGCTGTGTGTCATCAGGGCCCATGGCCACCTCACCTGGGCTCAGCTTGTGAACAAGGTGCTCTGCCAGCCTGTGCCCCTCAGCCAGCTGCTCTCGGAGGTCCTGACCCTGGGACTTTTCAAGGTCATCAGGAGCGAGGAGGGCCTTGAAATGCTGATTCAGTGAGCGGGAGGCATCTCTCCCTTCCTGTAACTTCTCCCGTAACTGGGTCAGCTCTCGTGCCTGAGAGTGAACCAGGGCTTTATATTGCCTAAGGTGAGATAGTAGAGAACATTTAATAATGGAAAGGGATGAGTGATCAGGTCTAATACTGCAACAGAGGTTTCTTTCAGAATGTCCCCAAGGAGACCTCCAAGTAGAAAGTCAGAACATGTTTGGGGAGATATCTGTGGCCAAGAGAAAGAAGAATATATGTGTTTGTATACACATACACACACATATACACACACACATATTTATACACATACATATACAAATATACACACACACACACACAAAGAGCCTTCTGATATATCAGAGAGTGCTTCTGTAAGATCCTCAATAATGTTCCATTCACCTTTTTCTTCTGTAAACAAAAGTCGATGTCTTCCTAAATCAGTTCCACAAGAATGTCCTTTGAGTTCCTCACTTTGGCCATGGGCATCTCTATGTGAAAATTCACTTAGCGCATCTTGCAGTGACTAGACACAAGCCATGCACAGAAATGTGGCCAGGTGCAGATGGGGTGAATTGAAAAGATTAAAGAAGAAAAGAATGACAGGGTCAAGAAGGCAACACTGATTGAATGAATGAAACGCCGCAGTCAGTCACGAGGTGATTCTGACTAAGAGTAAAGGTGGTGGTGATCTCACACCATTTTGAGTATCCTAAATGCTTCTGAGTGGTTCACTTGTTTTTGGTTTATTTTGTGTTATGCAAATTTGACCTAAACAATTAGTGATTTCAAGAAGAGAAAACAAGGCTTAAGAAACAACTGCAATCAATAACTTACTAAGATGACTGTTCTCTGTTTTATAAATATTTGTGTGATATGTTCCTGCCATGTAAATGCCTGCCCTTGTCCTGGCCCAGCTTAGCTCTTAGTTCTCCCAGCTGAGTTGCTGCACTTCAGAGATTCACACTCCTGCCCCTCTGCCTGCCCCCAATGGGGCCTACTCACCCGAGCTCCTCAGCTTGTCTGAGCTTCTCTGCCAGCTTCTCCACGAACTGCAGTTCATCCCTCAGCACAGAGTCTATGATGTCTTTGTACTCTTCACACTCTGAGAAAAGACAAACATGCCTGCCTCAGTGGAAGGCTGGACATGCTGCTGGGATCACTGCCTACAGGGCAGGTGGCAGCATCCATCCCAAGGATGAAAGCAGCCCCAGTACCAGGCTCCAGGCAGGCATTTCCACATCTTTATTTATCAACCTCCCAACTTTCTGTTATCTGATACTCCCCAACTTAGAGATGGGAAGAAAGAAACTCAAGGGCCCATCAAGTAGCTTGAGAAGATGATTCACCTGGAACAAGGCAGAGTCAGAATTCACAGCTCCTGAGGTCTGACTCTGAATCTTGGGTCACTTCCCCAAGCCTTGCAGCCTCTCCTGTAAAACACTGCGCTGGGGCATGAAGTAATGATATCCTGCACAGTCGGAAAGACCCTTAGCACTATGGGGCTCCTGGTTTCCCTTGTACCGGGAATTTCAAGTGCAAATATATGAAACATGTAAAAAATCATATCTGTATATAATTGCATAAAATATGAGGCATAAGACTATGGGGCAACAATAGAAATATGCCCAAATACTAATAAAGTTTGAATTAAGCTAGAAACAGTAGAATGAAGAACTAATACATAACATTTACTCTGTTCCAAGAACTGTTCTAGGAAATGTACAAGAAATAGGTCACGTAATTCATTGCAGTAATTTATAGAGGTAGGTATTATTATAGTACCCAATGAACCGATGAGGAAACTGAGACAAAGAGAAGATAGGCAACTTGGATGGAGCCCAGGAGCCCAGGGTCTCTGCTCTGCACACTACACTGCTACCTCCACAATGTCTTATGTGCCAGCTTTCTTCCTCTTTAGGAACAAGATCCTGTGCCCCAGGAAGCAGGGCTTCCCTCTCACTGGCACACTACCTGCTTTGAAGGGTGTCACAGATACCACAGTTTCTGTTAGGAGCAGTCTTTTCTTTGAGGTCCTTAGAGTGGGTACAGTGTACGGTTGCCATGTTTCCCCCAGAGTCCCCAGGACGGAGCTTTGCCTATTGGGCCTCAAAGAAGCTCGAACTGAATGGAAGTTCATTAGTCCCAGATATTTTGACCAACAGACTAGATGTTATATGTCTGCAGGATCTTGTATGGTACAGAGAGAATTCTCATAAACATGATTTAGCCCCTTACTCAGGAAAACAGGTGGTTCTGTGCCTGTGTCAGCAGTCAACATGTTGGATTTTAACTCTAGTTCCATCTCACGCCAGACTGCAGTTGTGGAAAAGTTGCTAACTACTTTGTGCCTCTGTTTTCCATGTTTAACAAAATGAGGTTAAAATACCCACTTCTATTGTCCTAGAAGTATGGGAAGGATGACATTAATTTTGATGAAGAGACCGTTCAGTTTCTCAGAGAGAAGACAGGTGGTCATTCATCACTTTCGTGATGGTGAATCTATAGAACTTACTGTATTTCTTCAGCTGGTTGGCCAGGGAGTAGGCAGTAGCTTGAGTTATAAGGAATTTCTCTTTGAGGTCTCGGAACTGCTGATTGCTCTCTGCCAGCTGGGAGCGCAATTCCTTGTTGATTTCTAGGATGTTCATCTCTGCCCTCTCGCCGGACAAAAGGTCGGCAGATACCACCATGCTGACGTTTGTGGCAGAAGAGGTAGCGCCAGGGACTGGGGAGAAGAAACCCAAACACATGATGTGTCAAAAGCTAGTGAAATCAGTTAGGTTTAATCAGGACTGAGAGATGACAATAACTGGAATTGTTAACTTACGGTTGAGAAAAACTTGATCAACACCCCACAACACTTTAGAGTCCTTAACCGCAAAAACAGGGTCCAGGATTCCTGAGCTCAGAGTTGAAGGCACTGCCTAAAGCTCCGACTCTGACAAGAGTGAGGGAGGTGGCAGCCAGCGTGCCAGGTAACGGTCTGCAGTTGCAATAACAGAATTAGAAGGTGGGGGTGTCATGGAATCTTAGGAGCCCTGTATTCCAATTGCCCAGGATGTGCTGAAACACTAGGGCCCTGGTCTCACCTGAGGGTCACTGATGGGGACCATTTCTTTAGCAGTCACTCTCAGTATTAGTGCACCTTGGTGACAATGCTATAGGCCCATCTCTTTCCCAATACATCTAAGCCTATTCCTCATTGCTCATCTCTTGTGTGCATAAAATCATCAAGGTAGAGATAGTTTCCCCTAAGGTTATGTTTTCTTAGTGGTAGTCACAAAGTCACCCCACCTTCTTTTTAAGGTAAAATGATCTCAACGCTTTTCCACAAGTGAAAGATATCAAATTTTAGATTGCTATGATATCCTTTGGGTCTTCTGCAGTTTTTTTCTGTGTCTACTGAAAATGAGTGAATAATTCATTTTTAAAAAATATTTTCTATCCTTTCTCAGTATTCTTGTTGCATCCCATTGTTATGTTGGTTTCTTTTCTCTTACTGGGGAAGCATCTTGTGTTTTCACTACACTTAAGACCAGTTTCACATCCCTACATCCATAGCTCTTCCTCTATGCGTGGATTGGTTTGCTTTTTTAATGTCACTGAACACTCATTTCATACTTACCACTTACAAAGATCATTCTGGTCCCATAAGAGTTCTTTTCAAGGTGTCAAGTGATGAAAATCATTTGTATATATCCCCTGAAAGCATGTGTTACCATGTATCTTGGGAAGTCTTGTAAACCTGTAACTATTTTCATTTAGGTTTCGCATATATTGAAAAGAACAGGGCCATGAACACTTCTTATGGAACACTGTTGGATATATATACATTTTGAGTTGCTCTAAACCACTGATGTGTGGTTGCATTCCAGTAACAGAACCTGGCAAGATCAAGCTCATGGTCAGGGGTGGTTGGTGATCCTCAGTGAACCACCAACCAGGTTGGTGATCCTCCCCTGAACCACCTCCTCACTTTCTCAGCTTTCATCCCCACCCAGATTTTGTGAGGCTAGAACTTGGGAGATTGTCCTGTAGCCCAGGTCTGCTAAGTTTGGCTGCTGGACTTGCCTGAGTTGAGGTGTGATAAGTGTGACCACGGGCTACTCAGCATTCATGTGGAAGTGAAGGGAGGAGGACTGGATCAATCCCATTGTAAAGCATGCCTCTCAGCAGCCTGCACCATCCTCCAACTACACTGTGTAATGACAGTGCTTTGAGATGTAGCAAAAGCTGTAAATAAATCTATTTTCTGGTGTGTGTGAGACCTGATATTATACGGGAGGAAGAAAAATTTGCAAAATTTCTTCATTTTAAAAATGGTGAAACTGCAGATCAGAAAGACCAGAAAGTTATATGGCTTTTTTGAGGTCACACAGGGATGAGTCTTGAGCACTGTCAATAAAAGCAATCACATATTTATTCAGTGATTATTCATAGAATCCATAGAATTCAGTGAATATTCATATAATTATGAGTAATATTAATCGACCAATTGGTACCAGGCATTTTCCCCAAAACTGCACATATTTAGACTTTGTATTTTCATCATAACCTTAAGGTAATGTTATTATCTATAAGAAACAGGTATGAAACCTGAAGAAGAGGATAGCAAATCATGAATTTGGCCATATTTCCATTTTTTTGTTTCTGTGATTCTGGCAGAATGACCATATTGAGTCAAGGGAATAGTATTCATTACTGTATCATTTTCCAGGACAGAGATGTGCCTTACTAGAGTATTTGGGGTCAAAGTTTAGAAGTGTTTGCAACCTCGCTTTAACAGTATGGGAAATAACCTCTATTACCTGGAATTTCAATGGAACTTCCTAATATACAAGAGAAGTATGACACTTGGGTCTTCCCTTGGCTGTATTTAATTCACTCTTCTATAGAATACCAATGATTCTCATTAAGATTTTTGCCTTTTTGTAACCATGATATATATTTTTTATGGAGAAGATTTTACTCTTATCTCTATTTTAAAGAATAAATATAAGCTATGGCTTAGGTTTTATGCCCTGGACTTAATATTTTTCTGATTTCTGTTTTGAGGTTAAATTCTCATATAAATAGAAAAATACTCGTTATTACTTATAAGAGCAAATTAGTTATTGGTTTGAGTTTCTGAAGTCGAAGCACAAACTTTTGTTTTTAATCTTTGTCTGTCCCCATCAGCGCCACTCATTGTCTCTCAGTATGACGAGGCCGTGTCCTGCACTTACCCTCATCCTGCTGAACCATTTCCATGTGCTGTCCAATTCCATCAGTGATTCGGGCTCTTCTCAAAGCTCTCTGAAATAGGTCGAGTTCTCAGCATGTCAGACACCTTCCAGACACAAAAGCAAGCCATACTGTAGAGTGGGCAGCTGGGTTCCAACCTCCCTGAAGTTGGCAGTGATGTCCTAGGGCAGGAAGGAATGCTTTCCCTTTTTAGGGGGTCTTTTCTTCATGTCTCAGTGCCTCTGATCTAGTGAACACAATTGTCCTGAATGTGAAAGAATTTGCTAAATTTCTGGTTTCTTGTTAGGTGGCTGGAACAGATTTATAAGACTTACCCAAGTCTGCTGAAGTTTGAAGTCTTAGCAGTACGATTCCTTTTCTTGTAAGTTGAGCAGCTTGGAGAAAGTTGGCCCTGTTGCCATGCAAAGAGATGTAAACGTAACATCCACTCAAAGCAAGCTTGAATTTGAAACTAGGGCTTCCACTGTTCCAAGGTTGGACTGTCACTGCCTCAGGCATGTGTCCCGAAGGGCTCGTGTCTCCGCTATATTCAGGATAAAGTTAAGATGGAGCCCATCAAGGCATGTCTCCTTCACTTCTAGGTTCCCCCAACAGTTTTCTCCTCTTTAGAGACTGCATTGAATACATTCTTGTTCTGCTTTTGTGTTTGGCTTTGGAATGATGTGATGGAGCTCAATGGTTCCTACTCGCAAGTTGATCAGAGTAAGAAACACCTGGAAGGTCAGTCCAGTGTCCTCCTTGCAGGGATTCTGATTCAGTGCCCTCAGGTGGGGCCTGGAATGTGTTTGTTAACATGACTCAGATGTGCAGTCAGTTTGGGGACACTCTGATACCACGGACCTTACAGTTTATGGGATGATGCTATTTTGCTGATGAAGAAACCAAGGCAGAGAGAGTGTGTAACTCGCCCAAGTTCCCTTTGCTGTAAGTACTGGAGCCAGATCTCGGGAAGAGTCCCCCTTCCCCAGTCCGCTTTCCACATTTTCCAATTCAGTTGTGTAGGTGCTTTCCAAGTAGGTGTTTCTCTCCCCCGTACCTCATTTCTGCAAAACAAGCAAACACACATTAAAACAAACAAACAAAAAACAAAACAAAACAAAAAAATTCTTGAATTCAATTTGTTTCCTTTAATACATTCCCTCACATGATGCAGTCAGCATTATATTCTGGCCACTTACTATTAATATGAGATGCTTGTTTTTGTTTTTTGTTTTTTTTTTGTTTTTTTTTGAGACAGATTCTCATTCTGTCATCCAGGCTGGAGTGCAGTTGTTATTAGAGCTCACTGCAACCTCGAACTCCTGGGCACAAGCGATCCTCCTGCCTCAGCTTTCCAAGTATCTGGAACTCTAGGCACGCATCACCATTTCTGGCTAATTTTTTGTTTTAAAATTTTTTGTAGAGACGAGGTCTTGCTATGTTGCTCAGGCTGGTCTTAAACTTCTTTCACTCAAGAACTTTTTATTGAAAAGTCTTTCATTTCCCCAATGAGAAGCACTCGTGTCTTTGTTTTTAAAAACTTTAAATAACTATATATATATGAGCATAATGTTTGAGTCTGTATTCTTTGTATGTTGATATACTTCTGTATACTTACACTAGTACCATAGTTTTTAAATTATTGTAGCTCTAGAATGAGTTTTGAAATCCAGCAGAATAACTCCTACAACTTACTGCTTCTTCAGGACTGACTTGCCTGTTCTAGGTTCTTTGATTTTCAAATACATCTTGAAATTAGGTTTTACATTTCTCTAAAAATTCCTACTAGAAACAGTAATCAGAACTATGTTGATGTAATATCCTAACAAAATTGAATCCTCCAATCCATGAATGTAATATATTTCTCTATTTAGTCTTCTCTAATTTCTCTCACCAATAGGTTTCAGGGGCTTTGTACCTGCTTCATTATATGTATTCTTAAGCATGTAATGATTTTGGGTATTAATCTCTATTATTTTTCATTGAATTTCATTTTCTAGCTGCTAATTGCTAGTATGGAGAAATTAAGATGACTAAATCAACGTTATAAAGGTATTTATTAGGTACAATAGACTGCACCACTTTAAAATATGTAATCCAATGCATGTTTACAAATATACACACTAATGGAACTACTGCTACAATCAAGATATAGGAATTTCCATAAGCTCAAAGTTTCTTGTAACCCTTTGCAGTTCATCACTCTTTCAACCCTCAGGTCTGAGGAGTCACTGTCACTTTCTGGCAGTGCATTTTTAACCATTTTCTATAAATGAAATTGTACCTATGTTCTTTTGTGTCTGCCTTCTTTCATGTGTTATATTAATTTTAAAATCCATCCATGTGAGTATTTTCAGCAACAGTTAATGCCTTGTAATTGCTGAGTAGTATTCCTTTGTGTGGCTATACCATGTCTGTTTATACATTCACTTGTTTTTGGACATTTGTGTCATTCTAGGTTTGGGCTATTTTGAATAAAGTATCATGAGCATCCACATGCAGATCACTGTGTGGATATAGTGTGTAAATTCCTAGGAGTGGAAGGACTGTCCATCTGATCTGTACATGTTTAGTCTTACAAGAAACTGCTAGCCAGATTTTCAAAGGAGTTGTACATTTTTCATTCCTGCAAGTATAAAACTTCCAAGTGCTTATATCCTCACTGATATGTGGTATTTTCAGTGTTTTTAATTTTAGCTGTTCTCATGGATAAGTAGTGGTATCTCATTGTTGTATTGACTGAGCTCCCTGATGACTAAAGAGTTGAGCATCTTTTCATTTCCAAATTGACCATTTATGTATCTTATTTTCTGAAGTATCCAAGTCTTTTGAGAAATTTTTTCATTGTGCTGTTTATCTTATCAGACTGCATTATATATATATACTATTAAAAAATCCTTTGTTGGAGATAAATATAATTTATCCTATATTGTGACTTCTTTTTATGTTCTCTGATTGTTACCTGTTTTGGAGATAAAGATAGATAATCATCAAAAGGTGATTATGTATATATACATATAACTACGTTCATGTCTAAGAATCATTTATTAGACATATATGTAAGGATCTATTTCTGAATTCTCTTTTGTCTTATATTGATATATGTTTTATTTTTTCAACAATACACATTATCTTGATTTCCATAGCTGTATAGTAAATCTGGAAATAGGGAGTGAATACATTCACCATTGTTCTTTTATAATATTGCTCTCTTATTATTATTGATCATTGACATTTTCATACAAATAAGCTCATAAATTTCTACCAAATTGCCTGTTGGAATTTTTGTTAGAATTGCATTGCATCTGGAGATCAATTTGGGTAGAACTGGCTTTTTAACTGTAACAGCTCTTCTGATTCATGACAAGGTTTATCTCCCCACTAATTTAGTTTTTTTTTTTTTAAATAATTTCTCAAAGCAGTGTTTTGTAGTTTTCAGTGTACTGGCCTTACACAAATTTTGTCGTATTTGTTTCTAAGCACATCATGAATTCAGATGTTACTTTAAATGAAATTGTATTTTTATTTTATTTTCCAAACACTCATTCCTAATATACAGAAATACAACAGACTATTTATATCAAACTTACATTCTGCAACATTGCCAAATTCACTTAATAGTTTTGGTAGATTTTTGTAGATTTCTGGAATTGTTTACATACATAATCATGATCTGTGAAGAAAGTTTCAATTCTTTCTTTTCAATCTTTGCAGTGTTTCTATTTATTTACTGTTCTTACTTTATTGCAATGGATGATATCTCTAGTATAATGCTGGATTGAAAGAGTAACAGCAGATATTCTACGTTTTTCTCTATTTAATAGAAAGCATTCAATCTTATTAATGTTACCTGTGGGTTTTTCAAATCTGCCGTTAGCAGGGTTGGAAGTGTTGTCTTCTGTTCTTATCAAGCTGAGAGTTTGTTTTTTTTTAATCATGAAAAAACTTTTCGATTTGCCAAATGCTTTTTCTGTGTATGTCAAGGTAATCACATGGTTTTTCTCTTTTGTCTTGATAATATGCAGAATTATATCAGTTTTTTAAATATAAAAAGATTTATTAAATCAAGCTATGGCAGTTTTAAAATAATATGTAAACTTTTAGCAATTATATTGAGATATAACTTATATGCAAAAAACTGCACATAATTAAAGTGTATAATTTAAAAAGTTTGAACATAGTATACATCTGCAATCAAGATAGTAAATATATACAGGCATGGTGGCTCACGCTTGTAATCCCAGCACTCTGGGAGGCCAAGGCAGGTGGATAGATTGAGCTCAGGAGTTCAAGACCAGCATGGGAAACGTGGTGAAACCCCGTCTCTAAAAAATATACAAAATTGGCCAGGCATGGTGGCATGTGCTTGTAGTCCCAGCTACTTGGGAGGCTGAGTTTGGAGGATGACTTGAGCCCAGGAGACAGAGGTTGCAGTGAGCCAAGAATGTGCCACCGCACTCCAGTCTGGGTGACAGAACCAGACCCTGTCTCAAAAAAAAAAAAAAAAAAAGATAAAAAGATAGTGGATATATCTACCACTTCCAAAGTGTCCTTGCATCGCTAGTAATTCCTCCCTCACCTTTCTACCCCACCTCAGACAACTACTGGTTGGCTTTCTATCATAATAGATTAAGTTTTCTATAAATAGAATTATCACTATGTAAATTATTTTGGTTTGATTTTTTAATTCAGAATAATTATTTTGAGATGTAGCCATGTTGTCATGTGTATTAATAGATCACTCTGCTATACTGCTAATATTCCATGTGATGAATATATCACAATTTATTTTATTTATTCATCTGTTCATGGATTTGGATGGCTTCTGGTTATAAAACTAAAGCTTTTATCAACGAATCTGTATGGACATATCCTTTCCTTTCATTTGGGTGAAATAGCAGAATCATATGGTAGGTACAGATTTACTATTTTAAGAAGCTGCCAAACTGTTTATAACGTGCTTGTAAAGTTTCACATTCCCATCAGCAGTATATGAGAGTTTTTGTTTCCATACATCTTTGCCAATATGTGGAATGGTGATTCCTTTAATTTTAGTCATTTTACTTGGTATACAGTGGTTTAAATTTGCACTTGCCTAATGACTAATGATATTGAATACCTTGTCACATTGTTATATGCCTTCCATATATCTTCTTTGCTGAATATCTCTACAAATCTTTTATTCACTTGAAAATTTGATTGTCTCTTTATTAATAAATTTTGAGAGTTCCCTTAGTGTTGCAGACAGAGGTCCTTTATCAGATCTATAATTTCCAAACATTTTCTCCTTAAATATGGCTT